CCCGCGGGAGCCGCCGCGCCCGGTGCCCCGGGCCGGGGGAGGGGGCGGGCAGGAGCCCACGGAGGAAAGAGGGCAGCAAAACCCAGCGCGAAGGGCCCCGAACCGCAGCGCAGGGCTCGAGGGCCAGCCCTGCTTGCATCACCCCAGCCCAGGTGAAAACGCGGGTTTTACTCTCGGGGACGTCCCGGGAAGTTCTGCCACCTCCGCAGCAGCAGACGGGAGCGCAGAGCCTGGGAAGGGTCGTGGCAGGAGAAGGATCAAACGTGTTCCGAGAATTGTGTAAATAGCCCTTCTCATAACAACGCTGGGACGCAGCGGTCACCTCCCACCCTACAAGCAGCCCGGGGAAGAGTTTGCAGCGCAGCTGCTGTGATAGGAGCCGGGCTGATGGTTTCCGTGGCCCTTCGCACACAAGGAAAAGTCGGCTCCGGCTCAGGTAATGAAAGAGAAAGCAGAGCCTCGTGTGACAGAGCTAAGAGGGGAAGCAAAGTGCAAGTGTTGGGTTTCACCGCAGCGAGGTCAACGATCCGGAGAGGCCGGCGGCGGCGGCGCATTGTCCTCCTGCCTTGATCCGGGACACGGAACCTCACAGAGGCTGGTAACGCAGCGGGACGCAGAGCAGAGGCCGAGGGGGCAGAGGACACAGCAGGCCCTGCAGAAGCGTCACAAACTGCCTGTGAAAGTTGTTGCACAGCGTGTTAAATAGGCAAGACAAAGATGAAGTGCCCATCACCTTTATTAGCTGGTTTGACCCTTTGGTTGAAAAAACACGTTCAAACTGTGCAAAACGCCTTGCCCAGCATTAGGTCAGTGCTAAAATCAGCTCAAATGCTTCAACAGCTGGCCACATTCTGCCTGCCACCACACAGTGCCCTGAAAGTCCATGCAAACACCTGATCTCATTATAAGCTTTTGTTAGAAGAAATAGCTGCCGCCTGGGAGAGAGCCATTTTACCCACCTCGCAGGTGCCAACTGTCTTGTTTCAACCCCAGCCACAGTATTTCCTGGTTACAACACTAATTGGGAACTTCCTATAAACATTATTCATATCTCTTTACATGGTAAAAGCTCCAGAGGAAAAACAATGAACTAACCAAAAAGGGACTCTTGGCTGTGTCATACACTATAAATATTTCTGAGCCACCATAAAAAAAAGGTAAGAAAAATAGTTCCTATGTCGTAACAGTTACACATTTTAGATTCTAAAAGAACAAACTAGCATTTAAGCAAAGTTCTCAGATATAAAAAGTGTTGTTTATCTTGGCATAATTCTAAGTTTTATTTCAAGATGAAAAATATAGTCGCATCTTTCTGGTGCTCATGAATCTTTCAAATGCTCGTAGAAGAGCTATGGAAAATAAGTTGGGTAACTTTCCATGGTAGCTGACGGGTTGATAATCTTCAGTACCCAGAAATGCTTCTATAACGGAAACATCTTCATTCACTGCAGAAAATAAAGGTTTGTATTAAAAGATGGGAAGAGTTCCTCTAAAAATACCTTATACAATCACATGTACACATATATATAATTTTATTGTATAGATTTTCATATGCAGACAGAAGAAAAAAATCAGCAAAAGCCATAAGAAAGGGAGGAGAGCAGAGCACTTCATGGAGGGACAAGAGTCTCGGGGACAGCACTCAAGTGTTCTGAAATAAAATCATTCCTGTTTGCTTTGCAAAAAGGAGCAATCTTATTGCTGAAAGCTACTGAACCAGGGTGTACAAGCAGGGCACATGCTATGCTGTCTGTGAGCAAATATACCCCTTTTCTCCTTCCTTTTCTCCTTTGTGTGGCTTTTCAGCCCGCCCCCGCCCAAATTGTTTTCCTAAAGAAAAAAGGACTGACTGCTGAAAATGGCCAAATTAGGAAATTAACCTCATGCTTAGTGCACCTGCCATCAAATGATTTCAAAGCAATCAAGAAACATCAACTTAATCATTTCTCTAATTCACAAACATGCTAGTTATTTCTGGACCTGCTCTGGGTTTTGCAAAAGCTCCTTTTTATTTAACTAATCACAGTGATTCAGTGCTTTCTAATAAAGAAAGAAAATAAGAATTATGCAGCAGCCAGTGACTTGCACATTCACTTAATCTTGTCATGGATCCACGATGAATTGGGAGTACGTTTGTTTCATCAGTTCTCTCTCACTTGAAGTAAATGAGATTATTCCTGTAGGCTAAGCATGTGCTTACTGCTTTGCTGCATCAGCATGGTGCTCAGCACTTTCAGGGATTTGCTCCTGAAACTTTACAACATCAGTAGCTTTGGGATGCAAGTCACAGGGCTGGTTTGCTCTATAAATCTCCATTTTGTGCTTGGTTTAAGGCTCATCTTTGTAGAGAAATTAGGCCTCCCTACACAGGAATAGCACAGCAGTGTGAGGTAAAGCATTCAGGCTACCCTGCGTCAACTCCGTGTGAGAGCCCTATCAGTGTGTGGCGAACAGAGCAAAGTGACTTTGAAGGAGAAGTGTGTGCAGACTTGCTGCAAAAGACACCTGCAGAAACCAGAGAACACGAGAGTGCCATAAACCCACGCTGCTCCCCATGGGCACAAAGGGTTTAACTCCACTGGAGTGAAACAGCCAAGGACAGCAGAATTTGAACACAGAGGGAGTGCTGAGCAGCAGCTCCCCACTGGACCAGGCTATTTTGTTTAAAAGCATCCCTGGTGCTCCCATGAAGAATCACTAGGAACACCCAGGGCCCCAGGGCTTCGCGCTCCAGCCTGCTGTGTGCTCACTTCCCCACACAGACAGGTTGTGCCAGCCAGCTCTGCATCTCCCTCTTGCCTATTTTCCTCCCATTGTTACTAATTCTTGCCAAGTCCCATGTGGTTTCTGGTATTTTAACCATATCTGGTTATTCTTTTGTCCCCAGACCCAGATAACATGGTGCCTACTGCAGGCATCCACATTGTCACGTGAATGTGCAATTCACATTAATACAACAAATAATCAGACAATGAGAAATTCTTTTTTTTTTTTTTTCCTCCTCCAAATCTGCTACAGGCAAGGCAGCTTTTCTTTTCTGAAGCAGTTCTATTCAATACCTTCTACTTTTGGAGCTCAGAGCCCAGGAACAATATGCTAAAACAGCCACTAGCCATGGCATTGAAAAACACTTCCCAACCCCTTACTGAACAATGTTCATATCCTTGATCCTGTTATCTGTAACACACAGAAGGGCTCCAGCTACAATGAACTATGTGCAGGTACAAGAAAGACTGCAAGAGCAAGAATGGAGCTGCACAGTGCAGCAGCCCACACTTTTTCTGGGCAGTGACATGAGGAATATGCTTGAGAACAGTGTTATTATTCGACTAAAGGAAGCACTGGCTGCTCTAATGTCTGTTTGCTGCCACAATTACCTTGCAAGAGTTTTATTGGAAATGTACTCAGAGCAGTGCACTTAAAATCTTGTGCTGGGCCCATTTCAGAAGTGCACGCGCTTGTATTAATATTGCAGACATAGTTCTAAAGAGGGAAACAAAATCAAGGGAGAAAAAAATCTTCATACTCACTCAAGATCACAGAGAAAAGAATGGGAGTTTAGCCTCGCTTTCCTCTGCAGCTGGCAATGGTGATCTGCAAAGAGCCTCTGCGAGCTCTGTTGTCTACATTGTAATGCAAAAACACTACATGGAAATCACAGAACTTAAAACAGATAATAGAAAGCTGCTAGGCTCAAGTTGAAGAACAGCAAAGACACTTTTTAATCCTCTTTTCCCTCCCCCCAAAAGGGAACAGAATCCCATAGGTACAAATTCTTACTGATCAAATACTGAGGGTTATTCTTAAGCTGTATTGTTTTCAAAGCCCTTTTTAACTACCCCTCAGGTAAAGCTGGTGTTAGGCACAGTTGGTTGGCCTGCATAGATTAAACAGAACACGCTTGACAAGTCTGTGCCCAGAACCACTCAGAGCAGATCAAAGTCCTACAGATGTGGTTCAGAAGCTGCCCCCACCAGTAAATACAAGCCAGCTTTATTTTCTATCCACTGAAGCAGTCTTTCTAAATGAGAAGCCAACTTCAAAAATGCAGTATCAGGTTATAAAGCTCTCTGCTAAAAGAGAGTTGGTTTAGTTAAGCTGTGATACGCCGGTGAGAAGGCAGGAGCCAGGCATGGGATGGGGCAGCACAAGAGCCACGAGCAGTCTCTGCTTTGCAAAAGGTCTTAAGGAACCCACTCGACAAGACAGTCTGTGCAGAAGACTGCGCTGGATGAAACACTGAATGAAACCCTGCAGATGAACTCCCAAACCAAGTACTGGTTCAGTTCATGCAAACACTGGCACACAACCTTTGTACTCTGCGAGTCTGTCCCAACACAACTAAGATTTTCTGTTTCTAGCCACTATCAAAATTATTTTTGCCTGTTATTTATAGCAATAGGCCAAGTTCATCTAAGGATACAAGGGGGTGCAGCATTTGTAGGGGGAGGTAATACCCTTCACTGGAAAGCAGGGCTGAACTTTCAGCACATACCCTTTTCACCAAGAGTCTGCTTTAAAACCAGGAGCCCCCCAGACTCTCACTTTGTGATATACATCAGTGCACATATACTCATCTCTAGTGAAAAGTGGTGCAATCCCTTGTCATAAATCCTGGTGGTAATTCTTAAAGATATTTGCAAGAACAAACAAATGCCCCACTCCAACTACTTTTATTGCCTGTATTCTGAGGACAACAACCTCTCTGACAGGGTTCAGGCTTACAAAACACACTGCCATGCCAGCTATGTGCAGGTTATTTGCTTTGCCCATTCACTATGTTCTCTGGCCCTGCGATAAGAGCACCGTAACTATTAATCTACAAAAGCCTCAATTTATTTATGCTGAGAGTCTGATTTATACTCAAAATCATAACTCTTGTATATATCACTCCTGCATTTTCTATCGTGGCTTCCTTTTCAGAAATATATCTGGCATGATAAACCAGTTCTGAACACAAGTCATGCTTGTGCTCACTTTTTTTTCCGAAACTCCTACAGATTGCTCCAAAATGACTTCTTCCTTCCATCTGTTTAGACACATGCAAATGTCAAATCCGGTCATGACCTTGAGGAGTTACAAAAAATCCAATAAAAACGTCTTACGTATTTCAGCCTAAGGCACGCCGGAATTTTTTCCTCTTCAGCAAAGCGCGAGGAGGATCTTGTTTATAGAGTCATAGCACAGGTCAAGCAGAAAGGAGAGGGCATTTGCAGTGACTCTTCCCAGCTACCTAAATCTAGTCATGGAGCAATAAATACCGCATTAACACTGCTGCTGTTCGGGCTGCGGCGAGGGCTTGTGCGGAGAAGAGGGCTAAGCTCCAGATCAGCAACCATCTGTCGGGACTCGGCCAGCAAATGCTGCAGCTTAGTTGTGCTGGAACAGGCCTCCTAGGCAAGAGAGAAAGTTAGCCAAAGTTACTGATCTTTTTGGAAAAAATCTAAGGGTTATAACGTACTAAGGAGCATCATCTTCATTTTGGAATGTCTTAGTTCAAAACAGCCCTGTACCACTGCTCCAGAGGCCATCATCACCTGCCTAGAGGGTGGCATTTCTGCTAAGCAGGTCAGTCCTTCCTAGAACCAGCTTTCTCACACACATGAGTGTGTGTGTCAGCCTAGCACTGAGCTGAAAGCTCTGAGGAGACGAGACTAGTGTTTCAAATGGCTCAAAAAAGCAGCAAGCTGATTAACAGCTCAAACAAGAGAATTTATCTTGGCAGCTGATAGGTGAAGGGCAGTTGGTGACAGCTCCAAATGTCACATCAGCCTCTTCCTCCAAGTCTGTGATCGCATACGTAACCAGCAGAGCTGTAAGCTTGGGCAGACACACCACAAAACCCTCCACCCCACCAAAATACAAGCTAAAAAACAAAAAATGATATTCCCAGAAATTCATTCAGCCAGGGTGCGAAACTGCTCTCCTGGCCAAACTGCAGCCCCATATCCACAAGAGACAAACAAAGCACACACAGATACACAGCCAGCCAACCTACAATTTGAGTCTCTACTTGCATGACAACAGGCGTTCACTTTCCTTCCACCCATTGCAAATCCCCCTAAAATTAATGCAACCCATTCTGCAATAAAAAACTAACTTGGTCAATAGTAGGATGGCAGCATCTCTTGCTTGGCTGAATGGCTGAGAGGTTGCCCATCTCCAGAAGGAAGTCTGCATCGGAGAATCTTTGAGGCCTGCCTCCTTTTTGAGTGGATGTCAAACGACAGGGAGAATCCAACTGAAAAGAATTCAGCTCTGCATTTCCTTCACTGTTAATAAAATTAAAACATTGCCAGAAACAGCATCACCATTCTTCCTAATCTTTCAAAGAAGAATCATGGGACAACATACTCATGGGCCCTGGTCCAAGGTAATAGCCAAGCACAAGAAGTTACTCTGCTCCTTAGAGTTGTTCCCATGTTTAGCAGTTTCATATCAGTTTCATTCTCTGAAGAATATTCAAGATATTTCAAGAGCACTTCTATTATCACATGCTTTAAAAACTATTTATCTTTACAAAGAACAAACACAAAAGGCAATACTTAGTTCCTCCTAACACTCTACTAATACTCTAGTACTCTTTCTTCTCTCACTCTGTTTTTGTTTGTTTTTTTTAATCAACCATTTAGCAAACTTAGCATTTGTAGGTGTACATTTATCTTATAGACTTTTATAGACTAATGACTTTTAAAGTCATTATTTCACTTTGGAGATCACAGGACAGTTTCCCCCAAGAGACTATTTATTTATTTATAATCCATAAACAAACAGCACATTTCAAGTATGGTTTTGGTAAGCTGTCATTAAGACCAAAACTCAGTTGCTTAACTACCACTTCAGTGTGGAGCTGAAGCCTGAGACCTATTGGCATGCATGTTCCCCAAAGCACAACCAAGTATTAGCCTAGCACCAAATACATTTTAGTGTATTTAGGAGTTTCTGAAAAATAAAATATCAGTTAAAGCACAAATCATACCCAGTGCATTATTACTGCCCAAACACAAACTCATAGCCATCGCACACTTGTCTTAATACAAATGATCCTTTAGCCCTAAATATACCTGTCAAAGGACTAAAAGTTCTCTGTACACCTTTGCACACTAAAACTTAATTTTATTTTAGCCTGCCCTATAGAAACAGTTCATAGTTTTAATGTTTAAAGGCCAATTTTATTACTACATATCAAATTCCTCCCCCAGCTCCAACACCAAATTATCGCAGGTTAATATCAGAATTAATAAAATCTGTAGCACATTAGAAATCTTCTTGATCATCTACCCTTGCAGCACCCTAGCTATACGTTAGGGCCCAAGGATTAGGATAACTGTAGGGGGAACAAGGTTGTAGAGAATGAGAAAAACGTCGCCTGCCCCTGTGCTGTGTTTCTGGACAGCACCGAACGCAGCTGGAGCTTGGGCAGAGGCACGTCCTGCTATCTGCTGGCAGTTTCAAGTTAT